TGCAGCCCCTGTGATGCTTGGCATGCTCACCCTGCCCCAGGCATCAGGGTGTCTGGGCATGGAGCTGCAGCACCCTCGGACAGGTGCACCCTAAGGCACGGGGGAGCAGGGTCCTGTGTCCCCGTGACACAGCGAGGCAGCCCACAGTCTCCCTTGCTGCCATCTGCCCGTGGGACAAAACCAATATAACCATCACCCAAGAAAACCTCTCCTGGGTGCTCCAACACAGTACGGTGGCACAAGGATGGACCATGGCACAGGGAAAAGGCAGGCAAAGGCACAACCAGAGAGACCAAAAAGACCCAGTTCTCAGCACAAGCAACAATTTGATTGGGAAAACTTGACGTCTCCCATATTTTAAGAGTTAGCAAATTATTCGACTACTAATTACAAAATGTTCATAACTATTATTAAAATAAATAAATAAACCAATCACTTTATAAATCCTGCACTCTGCTATTGTTTCCAGCCTTCTGTGATGGATAAATGGAGAAAATCAATAATTATTGCCAGGGCTGATTGGCAGAAGGAAAGGATAATGGAGGAACTGGCATGAGGCTGCCCGCTCCTTGACATTCAACTGGTGGGACATTCCCCCCAGCTACCCCTTTCCTAAATCTAGCCCTCCACACACAAGGCAGGAGGGAAGGACAAACAGAGAAAAGAGACAAAGAAACCAAAGGGATGAAGACAACTAAAATAAACCCACACACAGCTTTGGCAAATGTTCGGCACAGCCCAGCTCATCGGTCAGCAGCTGAAGAAGGGCTGGGGGACCCGGATGCAGATGGGGTGCCTTATGGAAAGCCGGGGATGCCTGGGAGCAAGGATGCTCGAGGAGCGGCCTCTGCATCACAGGCATCGCAGCCCAGCTTTGTTCTTATTTTGCAGGTGGGGTTTTTTTTATTATATTGCCACCCCTGCTAGCTCAGATTTCCAGCTGTTGCAAGCAAGCAGGTTGGGTTCATTATCCCCAGCCGCAGCAGCTTGGAGGCTCCTGACCATGCTACAACAGGAATTTGCCAAGAGGGGAAAATCAAAAGCGAGACAAGCCCAGGAAGCAGCAGGACCACTCTCTTGCCCCTTCTCCCTGGGTTTATAAATACATAGGAAAAATTCAGCACAAAGCTGATTTAGATCCAGACTTTTTCCTTCACCAGCTTCTCCGTGCAACTGAGTTATCGCCTGGTACTGGGAAGGTCAGAGAGAAAGTCAGCATGATTCCAGCGGACAAAAATACAGTGCCCCTCAAAGTCAAAAGGGATAAAAGCTGAGAGACCCACAACTGTCACCATTCTAGTAAGGGGCTACCTTGCCATCATTAGGTTTTAGAGTCAAACACCAGCAGAGAAAGGGTTTAATAATCCTCCTCAAGGAGAACAAGCAAAATCCACCCAGCATACTCATCCAAGGTTTCAAACGATTTCCCCAGCCTCCCAGCAATCCCTGCTACCACTTTTCCTCCTACCTCCTCCCCAGCACAATGATGCATTGCACCTTGACCACGCAAGGAAGCCGTAAAGCAAGGCTGAGGGATGGGGCAGAACAAGACAAATGGATTTAATATCAACCCGAAAAAAGCGTGGGCTATCGCACCAAATGAATTATTCATTTTGAATTCAATAACAGGCTCCATTTCGCATTGACCCACAGCTCTCACGGGCACAAGGTGCCAAAGAGAATGGGGTAGGCACTCCCATCAGGCTTTCAGGCACGGCGTACCATCACCCAGCTGGAGAGCAACGCAGCTTCACACCAGCTGGGAGGTCTGTAGTGCCAAACCCCAACCAGCCTGGGACAAAAACAAATAATGGGGCAGACTGATAAAGAAAATCTCCCTTCCTCCCACCCCCATCTTAGTGTCATGGTGGCAATGACCCCCCCATCACTCTGACCCTAAAACACAACAATAATCTCTTTGGGACTTGAAACACCCCTGATGAAGACTGCGCTCTGCCTGTGCCTTTCGTGAGCGGCTAAGTGCTGATAAAAGCTGGTATTAATGAATCCCTCAGCGGCCCTGAGCTCTGCTGTCAGCACGAAACCGTTCCGGTCTAATGGCCCCATGATAGGCACAGCCTCTATCCCAGGGGGTGGAAGAGATGAGAGAGGGCTGGGGGAGCTAAACAATTCAACCCTGTTTTTTTCCCACCACTGAGGAATTAAGCCCATTTGCTCAGCCTTAAAATACCAAGGGATTTTCCCCACCCCGCCTTGGTGACAATTCCCCCAGGCTCGTTAAGTGGCTCATCTCAGGTTGACGAAGGCTTCAAGCAGATGTCAGGAGTGTGTGCCTCCCAGGAGCTGGGGTGCAATCCTGGCAGCATCCCTGCGAGGCAAACCCAGCGGGTGAACAAGGCAGGGGAATATGATCTCTTCAAGAGCATGAAGACAAATAGAAAAACAACAAATTATTTCTAAACCTTGCGATGTGCCACCTCCTGCCTGCCAACCTTTGGGAAGGGCAGTAGTGGGCTCAGGTCTTCCTTCATGGTCTCCAAAGTCCACAGGGATACAAGGGGGAACTTGATGGCCGAAGGGTGCACACGAGCTACCCAGAAGAGTCGAACCCAAGGTCAGATTTTTACTCAAACACAGTTAATTGTCCAACAGTCCTAACGTAAGCCCTGGCTCAGGCTTTTAGGACTGGTTTTAGTGAACTTCCAGGAGAGGCTGGTGGGTTTATTGGGTTTGGGTTCTGTGCCAGTGTTGAGCAGGACCTTCAAACACGCAGGTCCCACGCACAACGCCAGCCTTTCGTCCGTCCTCCTGATGTGGGAACTGGGAAATACTCTCACAAGACCGGGAGAGGGAAGTTATGGGAGCTCTGCTCCAGAGACAGCATCATACCAGCACCCGACAGTGCCCACAGGATCATCAAAAAAGCATGGTCCCATCATCACGCATGTGCTTGGTGCCATTTAACCACCTTCTTGCTCTGCACCCACAGTGTACTTCGGTGCCTCTCAGGATCCCAAATGCTGCTGGTCGATCTGTAAAGGACATTTCTACTCCTTTAGACCTGCCAGGATCCTGTATTTTCTCAAGGAGCCTGAATGCAAAGCATGCTCCCCACACAAAAGCAATATTCTCGTCAGGAGCTCTGCAGAGCCCACACTTGGGCAGTGCAAGGGGTTTCTCCTTTGGCATCAGCACTGCCACGTAATGGGAGCACAGCTGGAGACAGGCACTGCAGCACAGAACACTCAGCAAACTCCCAATGCACAGGGGTCTGCTCAGTGCAGCTTTGATGGCATGAACACATCATGACCATTCTGGGGTTTGCACAAGAAAAGGAAACAAAAAAAGCCAGAGATTGGTCTAATGCCCACCCTGAGCAGGTTCGCTCCCATGCCTCTCATGTCCTGTTGTCCTCCATCCTCTGCCCTGCCCTAAACTATGAGCACTTGGTAGGTGCAACACGCTTCTCCTGGGGGGTTAGAAGCATTCAAGATCCCAACTTCTTCCACCACTCCAGCCAGCAGCAGATAGAAAAGTCAATACCACCCAAACCTGTGGCAGTTTTACGTTATCATTGTTTTCCTACATTTGTGGTAAAATGACATTATTTCCCAATTCCAGTCTTTAGCTAAAATTAGTATTTTTTTTTTCCATTATGAGAAAACGTCATTTTGCCATAAAACCATGTGTGCTCTGTTTGTTTATTCAATAGCAGAGGAATGTCTTGCCAGAAATGCTCCAGTTTGTGAAGAGCCCTCCCTCTAATGGAGCGCTTCGGCTCCTCACAGGAACAGACCATCTCCTAGTGGGAACAAAACCATGCTCGGTGTCAACTGCAAAACTTGAAGAAATCCACTGGCAATGCTGCTCAATGTTAAAGCAAGGCACAAGCACCAAGGTTCTAGTGGTTTCCCAGTTGTTGGAGCACTGGCATGGGAAGGCATCGCTGTCCCCACCTTGGCCAGGCAGGAAGGTGGTTTTTCACAGTGAAAAACTACACAAGCTCCCACATTTAAAGCAAATTAACAAACAAGTTTCTCCATAGCTTGAATCCCAGTTTTGCCATTTTCATATACCCGGAGTTACAGGTGAATAAGAAACACTGTGGTGGCCACCCCAAGGAGCATCACAGCCAAGCTTGGTGCTACACGTGCTGCCACCTGCAACTCCTCCAATCACCCCCTCCAAAACCAAGCCTAAAGCACTCTGACACCTGCCTTTGACCTTCTCCTTCTTCCCAACCCTTCCTTGACCTGGTGGTGCCCACCTTCTAGAAGCTATTTGGAAAGCACTGATGAAATGGGGTTAGCTTCTTATGCAAAAAGCCCTCTCCTCTTCCCTCCTTTCCAGCAGCGTACAAAAACAATACCTTAAAATTGGGAGTGGAGAAGGAACGGGCAGCAAGTAAAGCTAATAGAAAAAAAAAAAAAATCCTCCAACACTATTTGGGAAATATTCATCAGAATGGCCAAAGGACATGAAAAGCAGCGAGCACTATTTCCATATTTACAACTCCGCGCTGTGGAGGACTCCAGCAGGCAGCAGCATGCTGGTGGTGTGGCTGGGGGAACCCAAAAACCAGCAAAAAAATTCCAATTAATGCAGAGAATCAGAGCGGCTTCGCTGCAGTCAGGCCTGACAGCAGCTGCCTGGCTCCCCCAGCTTTGCTGGGGAAATAATGAGGCAGATGAAAGCGGCTTAGCGAGCAAGCACTGGCCTGCACAGCACTTTGAAGGCAGCAGATCACACAGGCGGCTTCTAGCAGGCTTGTGGCAGCAGCAGCTGCACCGGCACCCACATCCTCGCCACACTGCTCACCGAGTTTGGCCACTGACTGGAGCGCACTGAGAAGCTGCACATTGACCACTGCTCCCAAATCCCTGCATGGTCCCTGGAGCAAAACTGCTTCAGGGCAGGTAAATCGTGTAGAGCCAATTTCACAACAGACACTGCCCAAAACAGCTTGTTTGGGGACAAACATTTTGTTGAGCAAAGCTTAAAAACACTAAAAGCACCTTGTTACCCAAGGCCAACCTTACCTTTGCAAGCCACGTTGTTCTCCGGCTCATAACCAGCCTTGCATGTACAGCGGCCGATGGGGACCATCCACTCCCCATCCCCATTGCAGTACAGTTTGATGGGCACGTCCACCTCCTCAGCGTTGGGGATGCAGGTGCCGCGGGCAGTCACTAGAGAGGTGCTCTCCGCTCCTGTCATCGTCTCCGGGAAGATGGCGAAGTTCTGCACCACACTGGGGCACTTCTTGAAGAAGACCCTGACGGACAGCAGAGACATACAAGCCCCGTAGTCCTGGAAAGCCAGGTAAAAGCCATTGCGGGTCAGGGGCCCAAAACTTCTCACTTCTGTGTTCACCTTCATCAACCTACCACCAAAGTCCACCTGGGAGAAGCTCTCGTCAGCAGCAATGGTGTCCACTTTGAGGTAGGGTGCCTCCGTCCAGAAGGCGGACTTCTTGGTGGCAATGACAGAGTCTGTCTCGTAGTAGTAGAGGTTGAAGGTCTCCTTGCAGGAGCCAGGGACATTGGGGAGGCTGCTGCAGTCCCGCACAGTGAAGCGCATCTCGGTGTAGATGCGGTGAGCTCCACGCCGGTTGATGAACGTGGTGAGGAGCCAGTTGTTCTGGTTGGGCTCGAAGACGTTGCACACCTGGTACGTTCGGATGGTGTTGAGGTTTTCGTCGTAGCCACTGACTTCTTCCCACTGCAGAAAGGAGAAGGGAAAAGTGATGAGAGGGAGGCAGAGGGACCGGCGGTGGCCTGTGAGCCACGGAGGTGCCACTCACCCTGCACAGGGCAGGGCAGGGCTGGAAGGAGAATCCCAAAGCCCCAAAGGGGACTAGGAACATGGTCGTGGACACACAGTATGATGCACGTGCAGAAACACCAACCAGGCAGCACCAGAAGAAATTCTCGCCCTCTTGCCTCTGCATGCCTCTCCCCATTGCTCCCAGCTGAAGCTAAAACATCTTTTCCATGTGGGCAACAACCTTAGCTGCCCTGAGAAGATGTAAAAATGGGAAGAAAGATGGTCCAGATACCCAGAGGCGGGAGGGAAAGCAGCACACGAGGGGCTACAGCTTCATTAAAGCCCGAGTCAGCACGTGGGTGGAGAGCGAGCCTGACCCCAGGCTCTCAGCATGACGGAATCATTTCCCCCAGCAAAGAAAACTAACTAAATAAAACATTACCGCCGTGGAGAGAGAGAATATAGATTTGCAATTCGATTTATAGAAGGGCATTAATATAATCCAGGCTACAATTTCAATTAAGGGACAGCAGCAAACTGTGAATAGTCTATGATGGCATTAGAGTCCTACAGACAGATTTACAACCTCATAATCCATTCATTTTAACTAATCCATGTTTACAGTCTCCTCATAACAGCATTATTCATATGGCAATCTTTAAGCAGCACTCTGAATATCAGGCATAATTTCCAGGAGTGATGCTACAGCAGTGCTCACGCCTGTTTGTGTTTACAGGGGTGGGGGGCCACAACAGCAGATGGGTGATGCCAACCTGTCCCGTCACACTGAGTCTTCCCAAAGAGCTGATGCACCACGACCAACCCTGCAACCTTACAGATTTTGCCTTCTTCCATTTTCCATTAAAAAACCATGTTCCTCACCTGCTCCCCAAGCTTCCCCCTTGTAAACCACAGCCCTGATGTAAAAAAGCACAGGTTTTAATTTTGTTTTCAAAGCAGGGTCCTCCACACGCTGCCAACAAGCGTAACAGAACATTTGCTCCCAGGTCCACCTACTCAGCTCCGCTAAGTTTAAGCAAAGATCACAGCTCAAGGTTGCACATTGCTGTTAAGCAACATTTACCAAACCAGCAATAAAACCTCACGCATCCATCCAAGTGCTCTCCCTTCTCATCTCATGCCACGAAAGCACTGCAAAAACCCCTCTCCACCCTGGACAAGACATGCAGATTCAATGCCCTTTCATTACCAGACACCTCTTCACACAAGAAAGCTGCAAGGTCCTCCCTGACCAATGGGGTTGGCATTGTTTCCCATTCCCACCTGGGCTTTGCATTACAGCCCCATCATCCAATTAACACCAGACAACCAGCTCTCTTCCAGCACTCGCCCACCAACCTAACACTGGCCCCACTGCTCTGCTGTCTTTGCTGCAGGAATCCTCCTCTTCATCCCACCCGCCAGCTCGTGGACCCGGACCGGGTGCGCGAGAGGGGACCTGACCCACTATCATTTTATTCATAGTTCCCATCAGGGAACCAGCTCTCTCACCAGCTCCTTCCACTGAGCATCCCCTGCACTTTGCTGCTTTTTTTGGGGGGCGTTGCAAACAAAGCCGAAAACTAAGAGGCAAAACCTGCCAGCAGACCCTGCTGCACTTCAGGCACCCAGCACACAGGGCTGCCTGCAGCTAGGAATGACACAAAATACCACTTGGAAAACCCTCATGAGGGCTTAGGGCTGGATCCTGATGCTCTCTTGGGCATCCCTTGGGTTGAGTGCTCCTGCCACTGGGCACTGAAAAGCAGCAGATCCCTGTGGCTAGTAAGACCCACGGTGCCAGTGGCTGCTGCCATCGATGTTCTAACAGCAACAAATGCATCATTTTGACGAGATCCCACTACATAATTCACAGGGAGCTGAGGATTAAGACAATGTTCTTCTCCACTGAGATTTAAAGCACATCCACCGGGGAGAGCAGAATGAGAGTCCACGTCCCGCCACAGCCAGTCCCCCGGGACCACAGCTCCTGCTGCCTGGCTGGCATCCGTGCCCTGGCATTAATGTCAACAGCCCCCCTGCGCCCCAGGGCCCATCTGTGAGCTGGGGTGAATAGTCACTCCCAGACCTCAGCACACCATGGGGGATGCCACCACCCAAAAGGACTCGAAGCCATGGAGCCCCGGCGTCAGGAGAGGTGGCTCATGAAATCACTCTACCTCCAGCCCCAGGAGAGACAAGAGGAGCCTGGGAGAAGGAGCTGACACCCCAGCAGCAGCCAGGGGCCCCTCTCCCATCTCCTCCCTCCCGCATCAAGAAGCGGGAAGGTCCCTTTTATAGACAGCTGCTACTCTCCTCCCTCTGGTTTCTTTGCTTTCCTCTTTGGTTCCCCTCTTCTTCACTTGTTCCTACAGTGCCACTGTTTGTTGCTAAGCCCCAAAGCAAGGCTGCTAGCATACTCTCACTTTTTGGATAGGATGAGGAAGCTTTGGGTTTTTTAACCCAGCTTTCAGCAGTTCGGGCTGAAAAAGAAATAGCACGGCCGTAGGGTGGCTGCTTTAGGGAACTGAAGGCTAAAACCAAGAAAAGACCAACTAAATTTGGGGTCTTCATTTACTGCAACACAAGCAGAAATCCCCAAGTGTATCTTAGCATTTCTACACCAGGCTGCTTGGATGGCTCACAGTCTGCAAACCCTCCCTGGCACCTGCACTCCAGACAAGCCTCACCCAAATACTGGCCAGTACCGCTGGACAAGCCAAGAAGCAGCACAAATCTGCCCTCAAATATTTGTTGTGAACTATTAAACAGGACAAACCCCAAAACCCAGTGCTGTAAGCAGGCAGCTCATAAAGACTACTGCATGCCTGAAGCAAGAGGAAGACATTGCTTATTTTCAACTAGCATCCAACCTACTCCAAAAGGTGCCTTGGCTGGGACATGACGCCTACAGGGGGGTTCACTCCAGGAGTCCCAAATACACTTCAAGATGCTCCGTATCCACCCAGCAAAGTGCCTGGTGCTACTGAAAAAAGCCCAGTCCATGAGCAAGGGGACTTCACAAGGGAAGTCACACTCTCCCACACGTGCTACGGACTAACTGCGTCTTTAAATAAGGGACTTGGTATTTTAAAATACTTTGTGGAAGATCTAACATACACTCCTGTAAAGGAGAAGACTCACCAGTAACTCTGACAGGAGCAAGAGACAGAGTATTAATGCTGGATCACCACATGGACAGGCTCAGGGCACCCTGTGACAGGTGAGGCAGGGCCAGGAATCAGGAGCTGGGATCTGCGGAGGGATGCAGGGATGTGCGTGGAGGGATGCAGGCTGGGGACATGCTTCACTCTGCAGAGGGCAAGACTGCCAAGCCTTATGACGCAAGCTCCCCACTTGCCTTGCATGGCTTTCAGCGATAGCAGCTGCAGGCAACTATTTATATCCCATCTCCATTACCTGCATGTGGCCCCCCTGCATTTTGCCAGCAATTTATCTGGGCACAGATTTTTTCCACAGCAATTCAGAGGCAAAGCCCCACATTTCAAGGGCCTCTGATGTGTCTGGAGAGGATTTCGTGCCCACTGCATGTGTGGTTCAGCTTTGGTGACGGTGTGCAATCTCACTTCTTTTGAAGACCTGGCCAAGCCAGTCACACCCTAACAAAGGTGCAGGCTAGCATCCTTTCCCTTTTGTTGCCATGTCCTGGAGGCCCCAGGGATGGACCTCACTGCTGTACGCATCCCTGCCCGACCAGCTGCCTGTCCCACCGTGATGCCCATCCATCAACTTGCATCCCCTCCCACTGCCGCTCCTCTCCTCCACGGCTCCGTCTCTCACTTTCTCTGCCCAGGGAATGTGAGTCAGGTGATTTTATGCTTCCATTCCTCAAAGACTCATATTATATAAAAAAGATGTTTTAAGTGCCTCAGTGTGTTTTGTTCCTCATTACTTCATAAAAGTGACATTAATAGCCAGGGAAGAGCACTGCTGAGTGCAATTACGGATGATGTTCCAGGTATGAAAGCTGTTTTGAGCCTGTTAATGTTTCCTAATTACAAGTCTTTTGGCACAGGGAGAAGGAAGGATTGAGCGGGGGCATGGAGAGCAGTGATGGGGCTGGCCCCTTCACCTGGGAGGAGGACAGGCAGGAGAGGAGAGAGCGCAGGGATGGAGAAAAGCTCCATCTTTGCCGAGACCCTGGGATCGGTTCAGGGAAGGGACGCTCAGCCCTGGACCGGCCACACAGCTCGGCACAGCGATGCCCTGGCCACCCCACGCCAGCCCGATGGGGCATCGCTGCTCCCACTGTAACTTCCCCAGCTCCCCACCAGCGTTTTAAGACAAAGAGCATGAACCCCACAAGATCGCGTAAGGATCAGCTGGGCGAGTGGCACTTACCCCCGAAGGAGGGTTGGCAGTCCAGCCCAGCTCGGCCGTTGCCGTCCGCGTATCCATCAAAGTTTCTGAGGAAACACAAGAAAAGGAAAGCAAACTAGTTACTCCCAAAGCTTTTGATAATGTTATGAGCACAGAGCCACAAAAAAACATTCACTTGCTTTCATGGAGCATGCATCTGACCCTTGGAGCTGCTAAGAAATAGAGCAGCAGGTGCCCTAATACATCTAATTAACTAAGGGCAGCTTCACTCCAGAGCAAACAGTGCAGGACAAGACTCTTTGCAAAGAGTCATGGCCTGAACACTGTCCACGCTGCCATCTCTGATCCTCCCAAGCCTAGAAAAGGAAAAGAGCATTACCAACTAAAAAAAAAAAATTAAAAATTAAGAAGGTTGCTGCATTTCATGGAGTCATTACATGCACCTACAAAAAGCCGTCTAAACCCAAGCAGCAAGTTTGCATTAACTCCCTGGAAGCAGCGAGAAGCTGGGGGAAAGTCTCCCACAGCAGGCAGAGCCCAATCTCTCCCCCAGCATCTCCATACAGGCTTTTCGGTGGGTCCCATCCGACTCACTCACAGCTACTTGCTTTGCTCTGCAACACTAGATGTCCCCTTTTATGCACTACATCTGTCTGGTGCCCTAAGTTGTTGTTGCACACAGTTATTATTTGTCAGAGTGATTTCAAATACGCGAATAAAAATCACATTGTTGGAGTGATGTTCCACTGCTGGGAGTCTTTTGATGGAGAATTTGGTGGGAAATATTTAAAAGCTGTAATACAGCTTACATTTCCCTACTTTTATTCTTTAAAACAAACAAACAACAACAAAACACAACAAGAATAATAGTGAGAGCAACAACATATAGAAACAGATGGGAAAAATCCTCCAGGTTTTATTTATTTGTTTGGAGCAAGCAGACATGCAGATTAATTTCCTTGATTCCTGTGTCTCGACCAAATGGGAGGAGGAGGTACGCTGGCGGCGGCTGGCATAGCTGAGCATCCCCCATCCCTCCCATTTCCTCTATGGTCCCAGGTAGGCACGGCAGCTTTGCAGTGCCAGGAAAAGGGGTGCAACCAGAGAAATAGAGGTCAGAAAATAAAAATCAGCCCAGGAACATGAACTGCCCCCCGGATTGCTGCTTTTAATCTCTCCACACCCGCTCCAGCAATCGCAAGTGGGAAACGAGACTCCTATTAATCTTCCCACCCCTCCCTTTGCCAGCTGTCCCAGGATGGGAAGCCGGAGAAGCGTGACCGAGACGTCCCCACCCTGCCACGAGTGATAAATGTTCCCTCTCCCGAAATTCCAGCCAGAGCTCCCGACCTGGCCTGGCTCCAGGAGAGGTGAGCGGGGGCCACAGAGAGCAAGGCACCCCCACACCAGAGATGGAGTGAAAAGGTGCCTGGGAGCTTGCAAAGCTTCTGCGTCCCTAAGTGGTCCTGGGATGCTGCTGTGGCACTGCTGAGGGGGGCTTCAAAGCCCACAGCCTGCTGCACCCATGCTTTGCATACCCGTGCTTGCAGTGCCCTCGGAGAGGAAACGTTTCACCCCCGGCCTGTGCAGGGAACAGAAAAGTGCAGTAGCCTTCATGCCACCACAGCATGCCTCCATCTGCAGCTTCAGCCCCTTTCTGTTTGGCAGAAGCCAGCTAAAAACAACACATCCCACCTGCAACTCCTCCCTGACCCCGAATGGGGCTGGGGGCTCATGCTCCAGACTTCCAGAGATTTTCTACTCCCACCGCCCTCTGCCTTCCTGCTGCCCCCAAGCTTTCCTTCCCTTGCAAACAGCTCCGCACCTTGTTAAGCTGTCATTAATCCTTGCTACGGCCCTCCAAATAAGCAGGCAGATGTGCCTGTGCATAAATAGATGCAAAAGTGGAAGCAAAAGGCCATGCAAACGTCTCCCAGTCCCCACTCCCAGCATGACTATGTGGGGAGGGATCCTCTGAGAGCCCCTAAAATGCTTGGTGTTTTACCCCGCAGCAAACGGAGTGTCCTTCTGCCACATGGGACACTGAGGCAGCAGAGCCCAGGGTGACGCAGGGAGCGTGGCTGGGCAGGGACCCGGACCCAGCTCGCCCGCCCTCTCTGGTGAATAAGGACACACTCAGTTCCAGGAAAGGCACTTCTTGCAAGGGTTTGTTCAGAAAGGATTTTCACTCCATCGTCTCCCTTCCTGTTCCATGCACCTACAGCTTCCTTCTCCAGGCGCTTTTTTTTCAGTGGGGTGATGACAGAGGAATGTACTTTTGATAAAGTACAGCCTTGGTGCAGGATGGTAGCTCGCAAGGACCGGCTCTGCTCCAAGGTGGCATCCACCAGGATCCCTCCTGGCAGCTCCCTCCCAAAATCTCACCCCTTCCCTCCTGTTCTGTTCCTTCCCAAAGGCTCCACATTTTGGAAAGAAAGCAGAAAGGCACAGCAGCAATGCCAGCATGGCACGCAGCAGCTCCTGAAGCAGGAGACTTCAGAATAACTAAATAAATCGAGAAATAAATGAATAAATGGAAAAGAACCACAGAGAAGCTTTTGCTTTGGAGGTTTCCAGAGTCCAAAGGGGACTGCGTGGCCTGTGGCCAGGGAGGTCGTGCTCGCAAAGTTTCCACTGCAGGTGCATAGCTTGCACTTCAACAGTTCCATGTTTCTAAAGCAATTTGCAAACCAAAGGAAAAAAGAGGGCTGAGAGCCACCACTAAAAGGCTGACCCTCTACAGACCTTCTCCTGCTCAGATGCTACCCTGACTCCTGAGGACACTGCCATATACAAGAAGATCCATAACCTGGCAAAATAGTTTAGTTTGGTTTGTTTTTTTTAATAAAATAAAGTGGTTAAATCCTCCCTTCCAGCTCAAATTCCTGCTGAGCTTACCCACACCCCATGACTGCAGAGGCACTCGGCACCAGAAGGACTCGACTGAGCAACTTCCCATTGACCTCTGCTATTTCCTCTTGGAGGAAATCTTGGATTTTACTTCATTTTCTGGATATACAAGTGACACTGTGACCCCTGGGGAAACCCCGCAGGGACATTTATGGCCAGGCAGCTCAGGGCTAAGGCTCTGCCAAGCGCCCTCCTTCAGCAAGGGGGTTGTGTGCAGATGCCCATGCCCCTCATCCCAAGATCCCACGGAGAAAGGGGGGACACCCAGCACTCATCTCCATCTCTCAGCTGCAAAACACTGCTGCTGGTGGGGACACACAGGGATTACCCCCCCCCCAGCCATCCATCACTTGGGAGCGGGCAAAGGAGGAACAGGCAGTAAAATCCCCTTGCTCTGCCTGCTAACGAGGGGATTACCAGGGACCAGTGCCTGAGCATCATTAATTAGCAGAGAAGCCACACGGACACCTCGCACCTCTCCTCCTGCGCTCCTCTTGCCTGCTTTGTCCTGCTGCGAGGACCAGTCCTCGTTATTTGGCACTGGGTATTAATTAAACCCCTCGGGGGGTGTCAGCGCAAGGGTACATCATCTCCCCGTGCCTTGTACAGCTAGCACAGCATCATTAGCCATGTCGGGTGAACCACGTGCCACCTGTCCACCTGCATCGGCCAGTCCCTGCACTTCCACCATGCCGGCAGACAGGCTCAATGCCCAACAGGTAAATGCAGGCAAGACGCTGCCCTCCCCTTGCGTGCTCAAGGTACCGCTCCTCCAGCAACTCCTTCCACACCTGACCACCCACATGTGGGCACGGCGGATACCATGGGGATGCTCTGCCCAGCAGGGAGCTCAACATACTTGCTTGGAGAAGTCTTCGGGACCTGAGCCTCCACCGAAGGCAGCTGACAGGCTGTAAGGGCTGAAGCCCTCGTTAGGGTGAAGATGAGCTCCGCTATAGAGAGCTGAGCTCTCTTAGAGTGAAGAATCTTCAGCTGTATACAGTAGATTTTCTTTAATGGACACATTACTTTAAACTAAGCCTTCGCCATCTGTTCCAGTCCCTAATTATCAATACAAAAACAAACGTCTACTCACAATTACACTCGTAACGAGTAAAGATGCCAGCAATTAGAATGCACCAGCATCCTCGCTGCTGAGCAGTGCATCCATCTGTGATGGCACTCACACGATCCAGGCAGGGAGGACTCAATGCCGTCCTGGGGTCCCCACATCCTCCCAGGCAAACCGGTGAGAGAAGTGGCCAGAGCCAATGCCCGCAGCAGGATAAGCTGCATCTCAGAGGAGCAAAGGGTAGGCTGGCATCATTCAAGCAGTGGGGGAAAAATAAGATATTGAGAGTAGCCAGGCATGGAGCACAGCAGCGCACAAGCCTTCATTTCACACCAGCTGATGCTGTCTTGCCAACAACCCTTCCCAACAGGATTTAAGCCTCTTCCAGGAAAACCCTCCTGAACCAGCCCGAAACAAAGCTGAGCTTACTTCCTGAAACCCCCACCCTGAAACCCACATTTCAGACCTCCCCAGTGTGGAGGGGTCCTGCTGAGTCCCACCATGAGAAGGTGTGACTTCTCCCTGGCAGGGAGCAGGGTCTGGCTACAGGCAGAGAGAGATGGAGGTAAGGAGGCCAACCCAGCTTGATCACGTTTTGACATTGCCATCTGGAAAGAAAGAGATACGATGACAAATTTTCTGCTCAGGGAGGCCACAAAGAAATTTCTACGAGTACTGCACTCCTCAATAGATGCCTCGGGGACATGGTCCCTCTCCCAAAGCAAGAAGCAGCAGCTCTCGCTCCTGCAAGAAGATAACGGCAGGAACCAGCCTAAGGCACTCGAAAGCAAATGCTTGGGCATATGCAAAGAGATGCAGGCATGTCTAAGACGGCCAAGAGGAAAAAGATAGAAATTAAGCAAAATAAGGAGAGAGGAGGCTTGATAACAACAGATGGTAGAGGGAGATTTAGAAAGTATGCCAGCTGCTGGAAATAAGCCCCCCGAGATGCGTGGGGGGCGGAGAGGTGCGTGTCAATAGCTGAACCTTCGGAGGGAGGGGGCAGACGGGAGCAAGGGGCAGGGCGCACGTGGCCATGAGGGGCTCGGGTCCAGAGGAACAGAGGATGCTCTGCAGGTGGGATCTTTGGAAACTCATCCTGAT